TTCACCGACAGATGAGGCGAAAAGGTGTAGGTAGGTACCCGCTTGTACTGTACTGCATTCCCTAAGTTCACATTAAAAAACCCGGATCCCCACACTTGCACTTCGTAGGAAAGGACAGGCAAGGCCAGCGCATTATAAAATGACAAGTTGAGCTTGGGTACGGTACGTTTCTGTTCACGACAGAGAGAAGTGCAGGCGGCAAACCGTTGGCCTGTCCCGTAGTGCATCCCGAGGTACTGTGCCGCTTCATTATGGGGCAATACACGCAACATCTCCCCGCCCAGCCGGTACACGTAACCCACGAGCGACCCCCACTCAGTAGGTGTGCCCCTGAAGACAAGCACCTCACACTTGGCTCCGTTAGCAGCCATCCCAGTCGCCTTGCAAAACATCTCGAGTAACCAAGAAGGCATTGTGCCCGCTCACAGCCAGTGGCTAAGAGTGATGCATCATCAACAAACAGCAAGTTAGTGAGCTCACTGTCCCCCGAGTGCAGTGCCACGCTTTGGTCCTGCAGTACGGACCACCTGGGGGGGCGGTGCAGCCAGCAATCCTAATGTATGACCGTTAGGGTGGGATGTACAACCAACGGTCCGACGGTTGAATCGCCAAACCCATGTGACGAGCAAAACTGCACTTAAAGAGGGCTGAAGTCATGTTCCCAGTGTCGATAAGAATGGAGGCATCGGACTGGCACTCTTTACCTCGAAACCTCATAGATAAACCTTTAGAAACGGAGAAAGGCGAAGGAGGGAGCGACGTCAGCATCAGGAGCAGGTACCGGAGGGTCGTACCAGAACTCGACAGGATCAGTTAACCCAGCAGAGCGTCGCTTCCCTATCGCGGCAGCAACATCGAACAGCGTGGTACGTACGAAAACCACCTGATGTTGAATGCGGTGCGATGCTCTTGCAATTCAAGTAGTGCAACAGATACTCTCGAGCACGTGCAGGAGGCGGATGAACGACAACATAATGTCCGGCACAGCGAACTAAATTTGGGGCACATAGCTGATCAGAGTGAGGGGACAAACGGATCCCAAGTGAAGCGCGGACTAGTCAAACACTGAAGCTGCTCGAATTCGGAAGTGCAAAGTATGCGAGTCGAAGGGATGAGTGCAGAAGTTCGTCTTTGTGTTACAAGATTGACGAGGCTCGGCAATTAGAGCAGCAAGAACAGCAGCATCCTGATGCATGAGTTGCACTAATCACAAAGTCTGCAAGTCTGCTCACACACACAAACGAAACCCCCCGAACCGCATCATGCCAGGCCATGCCCCCCGAACCGCATCATGCCTGGCCATGCCCCCCAAACTCGCATCATGCCAGGCCATGCCCCCCAAACCGCATCATGCCAGGCCATGCCCCCCAAACCGCATTGTGCCAGGCCATGCCCCCCAATCGCATCATGCCAGGCCATGCCCCCCGAACCGCATCATGCCAGGCCATGCCCCCCAAACCCGCATCATGCCAGGCCATGTCCCCCGAACCGCATCATGCCAGGCCATGCCCCCCGAACCGCATCATGCCAGGCCATGCCCCCCAATCACATCATGCCAGGCCATGTCCCCCGAACCGCATCATGCCAGGCCATGTCCCTCGAACCGCAACATGCCTGGCCATGTCCCCCCAATCGCATCATGCCAGGCCATGCCCCCCGAACCGCATCATGCCAGGCCATGCCCCCCAATCGCATTGTGCTAGGCAAAACCCCAAACCGCACTGCGCCCGGCCACCCCAGGCCCCGACAGCATCCGCCCAGGTACCTCCCAGATCATTTTGCATGGGCCCATTACTGGAAGTTCAGTTGCGCAAGTCTTCGTGCTGCATTGATTCCATTTGACCGTCCAACCGAAACCGTTGGTCATTATTAACGTTGATCACTCGATCGTTTTCAGAACTGCTGTATTCGCCACTTATTGATATTTTTATTATTAACCGTTATACGGCCGGTATGGCGTTTATTGTACGACACCATTCGTTCGGTCATTGCTCGTAGTTGGCGCTGCATGCAGCCAACAAGTTATCAAGCCAACAAGAATGGCGGCAACTGATGATGATGACCATGATTATAATGATGACGATGATGATGATGATCATGATCATGATGATCATGATGCCGATGGCCTTTACAGCAGTTGATAGTTGCGGCTATATGCCGCCGCGGCCGCCGCCGCCGCCGCCGCCGCCAGCCAACTGGCCAGCAGCGGCGGCGCCCGGCTGGGTGCAGCTGGGTGCGGAGGAATTGCACCCAGCAGTGCACCTGAAGGAAAAGGGACAAGGCGGGGGAAGGGCGCGGGAAGCCAAAATACGGTTAGCAGTACGACACAACTAACACACACATAATTAGGTGACAGTTGCAAGCAAGGGTACCGCTGCTGGTCCCCACGACGCACACCCCATGCACCAAAACCCCAAGCCCATCCGCACCCACCTCAGCCGGGCCCATCATCAGCAACGCCCGCTC